TTTAGTTTAATAAAAATTGTATGTACTTTGTTATGTACAGCAACTCTAGATAAATGTATATAAACATAAATAAACATAATTCATATTCACATATAAATACTGTTCCACGTAAAATTATCTGTAAAATGCATGTACCTATAAGCCTTTTATCGGTGTGCGTCTCAGAACAAACTATAGAATAAAGTTACAAATGTTTTTGAACCATTACGGTTCTTCTTCAGGCAACTTGAACTTCCTAATTGAATGCAGTTCAATTCAAAGTTGTTATGAAATATAATCTGGAACATTATCTCATGTGAACCGATGATGTCATTATGGACTTGTGCTATGCATGCTGTGTGCTATTGTAGAGTTTTATCCAACGGCCTGCCAGGCTGTTGATAGAGCAATTTCCTCCTTGTAGTTAATACAATTACTCTCCGTAATGGTATTTAAGCATATGTAGATCACCTCAAGCCATCTGAGGTGGTCCGTGCGGTGGATGGTGTGTATGACCTTTGTTTGAGAGAATATAGGTTATATATCCGGGTCCGAAGAATATACAGCTAGAGCTGTGTTGGTTCTTTCATGTTGAATATCCACTTTGTTCTTTAATTCTGATTTTGAGGGTGCGTTTGGTTGATCCTATGTAGACCATGATTCTATTACACCTGTGACCAATGATAGGGATGGTGTACATGCCTGGAAGTTTTTCTGTCGGGGGTATTCTTTCCATTACGTAACATATCAAAAATCGTAGCACACCTTCTAAAAGTTATGTGGATATTCCTTTTCTTAGCAATCCCAGTGTATATGGATTTAAGTACAGTACCAGACCCTCCACAATATAAATTAGCAGTTTTCAAAGCATTAATCAAGAGAGCCCATATGCACTCCTCCCTAATGTGGTAATAAAGTATGAAATAGAATTATATGAATATACAAGAGAGTTACATTGCATTTAATAATATATAATGATACCTTTTACTTTGAACAACTCTAATTTTGTTTAGTTTGAATGCAAAATTTGATGAAAATTCACTTTGGAGTTTGAATAATTCTTCTAAGTTTGAACTGTGTGTGGAGTAAAAAACTGTGTTTGAAACATAAATGCAATCTGTTGTGTTCAAGTCATATCTAGCTTTTGCTCTTGCATTAATGCTTGTATGTTTTCAGTGTTGTTTTTGTGTTATTTTTGGTGTGTTTTGTTACATATACTGTATTGTGTGTTATTTGTTGATTTTTAACAATTTCTTCCTGCAATTTTTCTTTGTCAACAGCTTTTGGACATTGCATGTGTTTTGTATACTGTAGTTCAAAATTTCCCAAACAAAACTTTTTAAACCACATTTGACATGTTCAAAGTTTAGGAGCATCTTCCCTATGGACATTACAATTGTTTTTACTGTTTGTACTGTGTTATCCTTTTTTTTGAAAGTCATAAAGCATAATATGCCTGATATGCTTTTTATCCAAAGACATTAGAACTTGATTATATTCAAACAAAATGTGAAGTAAAGAGTTTAAAGCAAGTTTATAAACAAAGGATAAAATCTCACATTATCTATTATATATGTTAAATATGTTATATATAACATGTTAAATTTCACAACTGTTATAATTAAATTACACAGCTATGCTAAAATATGGAAGTCCATAGCATGTGATCAATAAATGCAGTTTTAACTTTATTATATGTTGTTTATGTATTTTAGTTATGGTTTTCATGTTTTAATTTATTATTAAGGCATTTAATTGTGTTATTTTTATTTTAAATTATGTATATTTGCTATTTCAAGTTTATAGAAATGGGTATTGTGTAGGATCTGGGAATAGATTAATTCACTTTCTAATATTTCTTATGGGAAAAATCGATTCAAACTTTGAATGACTTCCTAGAATGAATTAAATTTAAAGTATGAGGTGACTGTATTTTTCATTCCAAATTAGTAAAGATATTTGATATTTCTGTCCAAAAATCACCTGTTGTTTAATTAAATATGTGCCAGAAAAACAACACGTGTTTTTTGGGCAGATATACTTCCCAACTTCAAGTCCAGATTCCTTACTGCATACAGTTATGCTCTATGTATTTTTTACATACAGTTATGTTGTTCTACAAACAAAAGTCTCATGATGCACGAAAAGTAAGGAACCTGGGCCTGAGGTTGGGCAGTGATGTGGAATGAAAACATTTGTCATTCAATTAAATAATTGTGTTGGAGGAATAAAGTAGTCTTATTAATTAATGTTGAAAAACATTAACTTCAGGTATTACAAATTTTTCTAAGCTGAATATATATAACTGTTACTTGAAGAAATTTGCAGAACCTAAAGACAACTTTCTCATAATCTTTCTTGGACATTTTTCATCTTGGTATTGCTGAATTTTTGTTATCAACAATGAAAGTTAATTCATTAACAATGTGCTTTATAATTATTTATTATATTATAGTGTAAAAATATATATTTTTTAATTTATTAAAATATATCAAAGCAATTATACAGTTAGCATATATAAATTTGTTAAATACCATATTTACACAGTCTAATTTCATTATGAAAATTTAATAATACAGGTGTCATCTCCAGTTAATATCAATAATCTGTTGCCAAAAAGTCAGTTGTTCTGCACCAAAATGCTGAGAATCTTTTTTCCTATTTATTTATTTATTTATTTTTTGATGGGAAAAGTTGTTGTGTGTTAAATTGTCGACCCCACCACCTCTGACCAATTTCCTAAAACATAACTAAAATGCAGTAAAACAACTACAGTATATAAATAACAAGCTATAAAAAGAAGGAAAACTCGCTGAGTAGTTTTAAAACTGTTAATGCCGTACTCAGTGAGTTTTCTTTCCTTTTATATAATATTTGACATGAGGATCAAGCTGTATTGTATTAACAAGCTAACATGTTAAGATGTAAAATGCTTAAAACATTACTTCTTAACAATCATAATTATTTGATGACAAATATACAGTTGCTTTGTTCTATATGTCGTAGCATTAACATTATTATTTGCCATGTCATACACAGCAATAAAAAAAAATTAAAAAAAAGTGCAAGCAAAAATTTATACTAAAAAACAAGGCGATGTCACTATTAGTTACATTATAAAAACATATTTAAGCTTTCTTATAGGAAGTATTGATGTGATGCTCTTATGCTTTTCACTGTGCAGTAATATTCAAGATTTACATTTTCTTTTTTGCAACATTATACTTCTCAAAATATCTGCACATGATTGATGTTTTCTATCAGTTGTATTTAGAACATAACTCTAGATTTTTTTTCTGCATATTTCTCTATTTAAAATGTTATATTGTGTTTTTGGAACACACTGTATAAGCAGCAGCTGAAAAATGTTATATTGAGAGAAATGTATTTTCAATGAAAATTGGATATTAAAAAACCAAGAAACATTCTACCGGGAAAACATTAATTGAGGAGACATTCTGCAGAGCATGCCTGTAATGTGTAAAAGTTTCAATTTATATAATAATTTTTAAAACCCCAAAAATATAAGAAATGTTAGATGTTAACAGTTCAAATTGTTAGATGTAAAAATCATTCACTCATTAGTTCAACTAGTCAGATTATTGAAAAACATTTGGAAAATTCATATTTGAATATATTATATGGCAATTGATTTACATTTTTATAAAATTTTTTCTAAAGCTATACTTATAAATATTGAATATAGTTGTCAGTAATATTTAAAGATTACTGGATGGCTGAGGCATTTAGGACATCACCTTACTGTTCTGTGGGATCTAGAATTGAATCTAAACGAGTTTCTCATTGGCAATTTGAAAGAATTTCTCATGGGATTTCTCATGGGCAGTTTGTCCTGAATGTGTCAGGCCATATACCTCACCATCTGACTGTCCCCATTGTGGGCCTGACCAAACCCCCATGACAGGTATGATTTTAAAAAAGAATATCTTAAACAAACATCATGAAATTCAATAAATTTGTAAAGCCAAACAACTGCCAGATTACATCGGGCTACTTTTTTGTGATTATATTTAATTACAAAATAATTTGTCACTAGAGGGAGGCTTAGGCTCTATCTCTTATTAAATTTGGATGATGTCCTAGTGTGCATTAGGTGCCTCTAGTAACAAATTATTTAATAATTTATTAAATTAAATATAATCGTGGCCATCTTAATGTTCACAGGACAGAAAGAATAAAAAAAAAATAGTGTGTGTGTGTATATATATATATATATGGGTATGTATTCATTGTTCTAGTGTAATACTCACTCCAGAGTGGTGCACTCACAGAAAAAAAATATATCAGAAATTGTAATTTGTATTTAACACAAATAATTGTTTTTAAAATAAAAAGAGTCTGTATAAAACAAATTAAATATTCTGTTTGAAGACTATATTAAATTCTTTATAGTTATATTTAAGAATGAATTATAACACTGTGTGATATATAGTTTATGCTTATATAGAACTTCATTTGTACCATTAAATGTAAAAAATAAAGATTAACTTAAATAGTTCTTTTAAGTGACTTACGATGGTAGAAAATATGATAATATAAAAATGTTTACACAAATAAAAATTTTTTATTTAAGGTAATTAATTAGTTAATCTCTCTAAGCACAAAATAATCATTTCTTAAATGTTTATAAATGCAATATCCAATTATTAAAGTTTTTCAATAATTTTAATTACCTTAAATTTTAATTTTATTAATGCCAAATGATTGCTGGATTACATTGGGCTACATTATAATGCTACTAAATGTAAAAATAAAGATTAACTATTTTAATTTTTACATTGTATGAAGTTTTAAATTTCTTCTTCATTATTATTATTATTGGAATATAATTTTAGATTTGGGAGATTGAATTTGAGCAATTTATTATGGCAAAAATGAAAACAATGACATGTTTTCATTTATGACATTTGTGATCTTTTTTTAATATTGTTGATTTTTAATTTTAATTCATTTTTTTATTATTTTTAATTTATGTTGTTTAATTTTAAAATATTTTTTAGGTGATATATCTTCAAGCTTTTGTATTGGTTTTACTGATGGGAAAACTAATGAGGAAAGTGTTTTTTGGTCAGTTGAGAGCTGCGGAAATGGAGGTTAGATTGTTGTTTTAATATTTGTAAAGCATAAACATAAATTTATACTTTATCTTTATGAATTCAGAACCTTACTTTAGTCAATACTGTTTTCGTAGTATTGCATATGTCATATCTATGTTTAGTGTGGGTATGCATCAAACTTAGCAGCAAACAGATCTTTTCGTTTTAAATGTTTGAAAGTTAGAATCAGTTGCACATTAGATTAAAATAAATATGGTAAACTAGGGGAAAAATTATTCAAATCTCGCAGAATTGTTTTATATTGTATAATAGACATGAATAAATAATTAAAACTTATTAAAATATGAAATGAACTGTAACTATTGATAATAAATGTGTATGCATACTCTATATCTAAAAAGTTAAAGTCCCAATAAACATAGGTTATAAACTTATAAGAAAGAAGTTCAAGCCTGTTTTATTTTCTTATATCAAAGATGATAAAAGTGATTGCCTATGGTCCATTAAAAAAACATTCAATTTTTTAAGGACCTTTGAGGTGTTACAATTTTAAATGGTCTTCACACTGTTATGTAGATCTTTGATACATTTGAATTTACAGTATTGTCTGGCTTAGAATGGTGCTGACTTTACATATCTTCCTTAGGCATGAAAATAAAATAAGCTCTAATTCCTTCCCTGTGGGTTTTATGACTTGTTTATTAGGACTTTTAGGTTTAGATATAGATTGTGTGTGCGTGTTTATTACTAACAGATCTGTCTCAGATAATTAAATTATTTGTATAGGGTAAACTCTGTACAGATAATTTAAATATCTGAGATTGATGTGCTACTTACAATTCATTATGTGAACAATTAAAAGAAATACTTATAATAATGTAAGAAAATAAATTTATCTTTCTATATACAGGATGATTCAAATTAAAGTTACCTTATTCAGCACCTAATGCAGAGAGTGGGTGAAATGTGAAACTTTGTTAAGTTCGATTTGTACATGTTTCAGACTGTGAGGAAGAGATTTATGACAAAAAAGTTTAAAAATTGCCTCTGATGATACTAATCACATGCAGTCTGTCAGTTAAATTTACAAAAAACTTTGTACTCAACTATAATTAGCTTATTCAGGCATAGACACTTATAAGAATTTAGTTTAGTTTAAAAGTTAATGAATTTTTTTAATGATTAAAATGTTATTTTTAATTATTAATTGAATTATTTTTTGACTATTTCTTTGTTTTTTCAGCATCTTATAGAAAGATCATGGTATGCAGTTACTGAAACATGTTTAGCTTTTACTGTGTTCCGAGACGATTTCAGTCCGAAATTTGTAGCATTGTTTACTCTGCTACTATTTTTAAAATGTTTTCATTGGTTGGCCGAAGATCGAGTTGATTATGTAAGTAAAAGATTTTTCATAGTGACGTAAAAGTTAATTTTTTTTAATGGACACTATAATTAGTAATGTAAACTTGCATCATTTGAACATAATTATCATAAATCATTAATTCATTAAAATTAAAATGTCTATGTTAATTGATCTTTGTATAATAATAAATCTAATAATTATATGTTTCTCAGTTATGTTTTTTTTTTTTTTTTTTTTTTTTTTTTTTTTTTTTTTTTTTTTGCAATTATATGTTAAATATTTTCTGCACAGTACTTTCTCCATTATAAAACTCTTCAGTTATATATTTTTCATTTATATGATTTTGCACTAACAAATAATACTTTTTTGGTACCCTAAAATACTGATTTCTTACTTATGTGTTCACTTTGAAATGGAAAAATTCAAAGTGAATATTAAAAACAGTGAAAAGTGAATTGTGTGTGTATTCACTTCTGCTTAGTATTCACACGGACAGCAAATTACTAGCAAATGTGTTTAGTTGTGCAGAGTGTAATAGTGAGGTAAGGAAAAGGAACTGCTTGGTTGGAATAGAGTTTAATATAAACTATACACAGTAGACATACAAAAGAACAAGATCTACATAGAACAGGGTCTTCTTGTATATGGAACAATTCTAAGTACCATTTGAAATGTTCCTAGGAGAGTGCCACTATACTCTCACCAACAAAATGCAAAAAGTAAAGCAAATAATATGTAACGTGTGCCATTTATGACAAGTTGGGAGTTTAGCAAATTGGTCTGCTAGTCCAACACACTGAAAATTTTTGCTTTCCATTTATTGCAGTGTAACCAATTATGCTAAATGAATAAAAATCACTTTTGGTTTTTCATTCATTTTCACTATTCACTGTCAGTATAAGCTAATCTTTAGAATGACTTCATTTGTCACATGACTGGAGTTTTGGCAGAAAGAGACAATTGATGTCCCATACTGTATCAGTATGTGAAAGTCCATTGAAAAAACATGAAACAAAAATTGATCAATTTTTTAAAAGTACATGACTTAATTTCATACTGTTTTACTTTTCCTTTTAAATGTTGTTCAAATGATAGAAATTTTGATTTATTATTATTCATAACATAATGTATATGTTAAGAATTACACTGTGCTATGCCATACTTTTGTATTGACTATATTCACTCTGAAAGCAATTAAAAGTTGCATCACTTGTATATTTTCTTTCTTATTTTTCTCAGTTTCGTTGAAAAAATGTAAACGGAGTTCAATATATGTTAAACAAATCTAATAATTATATCTTTCTCAGATTGGCTGATTAAAATTATCTTACAATATATAATGAACAATGATTTTATTTATGTGTTTTTTCATTGAAAAGTTTTAAATTATAACTGAGTAAATTTAGGAAGTATTATATTAAAAATGGGGCTGCATTTTGAAAAAAAATTGTAGACCTATAAATTCCCATTGTCATCTGTCTGGCCATCCATCCTTAATCTCAAGTCAGATAGACGAAAGATGAAACCAGATATGGAAAGCTTAGGAGAGGAGGTCCTGATTAACTATATACGAACTTCTGGTTTGCACTGGAAGTCATATTATTTCAATTAAAAAAATTTTCCCATGAAAGGAGTTAATGACTGGCAGACTCTATTTCTAACAGGAAAAGTATGATGTACAGGGGCAAGGCACTTCTAATTTGAGGTGGAGAACATACATTTTAAATTAAATAAATTAAAAATATGATTAAAAATTGCATCCTGGCATTGTGACGATGCCACAATAAAATAATTGTTTGTTACATATGCAGAATGTATTTGACAATGACTGATTTAATTAAAATGCTTTTCAGGGAAATAAAAGTTTGTGAAAGTTAAATTTGCTGTGATTTTACATAATTTTCTGATGATTTTCTGATGTGCATGTGTGTACTGTACATGTGTAATTTTCATAATTGTTGAAAATGTTTTAAATTGAAAACATTTTCAACAATTATGTATATGTAAGCTGTATATGTAATTTAATTACATATACAGCTTAAGATCACACAGTAGAATCTCATTCTAACGGATTGTGGAATAATGGATTTCTCAGAATAATAGATTTTTTTTTCCAGATTTCACCAAATCAATGTAATTTTACCTCCTTTTAGTGGATCCATAACTTGGAATAAGTTATGGATCCACTAAAAGGAGGATTTATTCTAGCTCCATCTATTGTAAATACGTGTTTTTCAACGTTTAATTAATATTTGGGTGTTTCCAAGAATTTGTAGAGTTTGATGATACAATTATTACATTTGGGATATGTATAATGGAAGAATTGTGAAGTATAAAGAGAGTCAACAGGCTGATGCAATTGATGAGAAGCCACCTAGTTAACATTTTGATGCAGTTCCAAGTGTAATATCAAAATTTAGTGAGGTCATCAAGTGTTTCGAAGTCGTGAAGACCTTCCTGACAAGTTTCAGCATAAATGTACAGGTTATACAGTGCATGACATTATTAATATTGAGTGGCTGTTGTATTCAATAGACAGAAATGTGGCATCAAAATAAATAAAGATGGACAAGTTTTTTAACAGATTATGAAGCCAAGTGAAGTGCTAATGAGCTACATATGGGGATGCATGCTCTTTTTGTGTTTACGGTATATATGGTTTCTGTTCGCTTTGTCATACACAAGTACTGCATAATATATGATCTGGTAACATATGTGCTTGTATAAAGGATAGAGGCCTGAAGAGACTGAATAATTTCAAGTACAAGTATTTCTTACATGTTGGGGGTTAAAAAAAACAAATTTTTTTGAATAATGGATATTTTTCTGGGTGTGTGTAAATCCATTGTTAATGATATAATGGGTGATATTCAGAGGCCTGAGTGATTTGTTAAAATGAGATTTTGCTGTATTAGGAATGAACATGATGAATATTTTTATTTAATACTGTACTTATTCTAATGTGTTCAGTAAATCAACACATGATCAAAATCTTTCTTTCAGATGGAACGAAGTCCAGTAATATCTTGGCTTTTTCATATTAGAGTGATTTGTAAGTACATTTGTTATTTTATTATTATTATTGTGTGATTTAAATGTAATGACTGGTTGATATTGATGTCAAGTTAGATCAAAGTCAATGTTATGTTGGACTGAAGTCAATTCAAAACTACTACCATCAACTGTTTTATGAAGTTTATGTATTATTGGTGTTTGTGATTATAACACATGTATACTGTGTGATATATTTAATATTGCTGTTTTTTGTTATGAAAATGTGATTAACATTAATGTTTCTAGATTTTTATATAGTATATGTAGTATGTTATTTGCAGAGAACTACAGATAAAATGAATAATTTATATATATTTTTTTTATGGGTTTTATTTCATGAGCATGTTCTGCATATACAAACATCTCTAAACCCAATATTTAATTTAATTATAATTATTAAATTTAATAAGAGATGGCACCTAACACCTCCCTCTAGGACAAAGTATTTAGAAATTAATTAATTAAATATAATGTCCAATCATCAGAAAACAATAACAGTCTTTCTTCACAGAGACGACCTTTTATTTGTAGGCCATACCTCTGCTGAATTATGCAAAACAGTTAAAAAAAACTTTAAGNATATTGGGATGCATGCTCTTTTTGTGTTTACGGTATATATGGTTTCTGTTGGCTTTGTCATACACAAGTACTGCATAATATATGATCTGGTAACATATGTGCTTGTATAAAGGATAGAGGCCTGAAGAGACTGAATAATTTCAAGTACAAGTATTTCTTACATGTTGGGGGTTAAAAAAAACAAATTTTTTTGAATAATGGATATTTTTCTGGGTGTGTGTAAATCCATTGTTAATGATATAATGGGTGATATTCAGAGGCCTGAGTGATTTGTTAAAATGAGATTTTGCTGTATTAGGAATGAACATGATGAATATTTTTATTTAATACTGTACTTATTCTAATGTGTTCAGTAAATCAACACATGATCAAAATCTTTCTTTCAGATGGAACGAAGTCCAGTAATATCTTGGCTTTTTCATATTAGAGTGATTTGTAAGTACATTTGTTATTTTATTATTATTATTGTGTGATTTAAATGTAATGACTGGTTGATATTGATGTCAAGTTAGATCAAAGTCAATGTTATGTTGGACTGAAGTCAATTCAAAACTACTACCATCAACTGTTTTATGAAGTTTATGTATTATTGGTGTTTGTGATTATAACACATGTATACTGTGTGATATATTTAATATTGCTGTTTTTTGTTATGAAAATGTGATTAACATTAATGTTTCTAGATTTTTATATAGTATATGTAGTATGTTATTTGCAGAGAACTACAGATAAAATGAATAATTTATATATATTTTTTTTATGGGTTTTATTTCATGAGCATGTTCTGCATATACAAACATCTCTAAACCCAATATTTAATTTAATTATAATTATTAAATTTAATAAGATATGGCACCTAACACCTCCCTCTAGGACAAAGTATTTAGAAATTAATTAATTAAATATAATGTCCAATCATCAGAAAACAATAACAGTCTTTCTTCACAGAGACGACCTTTTATTTGTAGGCCATACCTCTGCTGAATTATGCAAAACAGTTAAAAAAAAAAAACATTAAGTGATGATAAGCCAATTACAAAATATATACACAATTTTCATTAAAATGACCAACAGTATTTTTTATGGCAGAAAGAAGATAATTTAGTTTCTTCAGATTTTTAATTTTTTTAAAAATACTGTCAGTCATTTTAATTAAAATTGTCTATATATTTTGTAATTGGCTTATCGTCACTTAATGTTTTTTTAACTGTTTTGCATAATTCAGCAGAGGTATGGCCTAAAAATAAAAGGTTGTCTCTGTGAAGAAAGACTGTTATTGTTTTCTGACGATTGGACATGGCAGAAAGAAGACTATTTACTTTATTCAGATTTTTATTTTTTAAATTAATTTTGTACTTATACCTCCTATCTCTTAATAATTTTAGTTACTGATGAATGGCCATAAAATGAAAGTTGGCCCAAAATGCATATAATAATGTATGTAATCAACCAAAATAAATATAATTAAATTCTACATTTTGGATCATTGAATTACCTATAAAGTTCCTATACACCTGCAGATGCAACATTACAGAATTT